AAAAAAAAAAGAATTTATGGTATATACACAAAAGTAGAATACTATACAGCAATTAAAGTGAATGTGTTCATTCAATAAATTTGAAAAAAACGTGAATTTTGGTGAATCTCAAAATGTGGTTGAGCGAAAGAAGCCATCAAATAATACATTTGGTAATACTCCAGTTTCTCAAAGCACAAAGAAGGCAAAAATCACCCTACAGTGTTAATAAGGCTAGTATTAACTTTAGGGAAAGAGGTAATGATGATTTGGGGACACAACGGAGGCTTCTGTGGTTATGGTAATAATCTATTTCATGATCTGGGTATTAGTTACATGAGTTTATTTTTACTTGCACAGCTTTTAAGACTCCAAAAATAAAGGATAAACAAGCTCTGGCCTGAACAGCAGCTTGGTCAAAAAGGTTTAGAAAGATTTAAGGCACGGATCAGAAAACAACTCTGTGTGAGGAATTATGAGAAACTAGTAAAGTTTGACCTAAAAAAGGAATGACATGATGATGCAAGTGTGGGCACCTTAAATACTGCAGCATTGTCTGATGAAAGAGCAACTTGGCTAAACTATGAAGGACAAAACTTGGCCCAACAAGAGAAAACAAGTTATCAGGACTCAAATTTTGATTCAATATACTAACTGCTAACAATAAAACTGCCCAATAATGGAACAGGCTCTATCTCAATAATAAAGATGATCCCAAACATTGAATTGTTCAAGGAAAGGTAGAAAGACCGCCCATCGGGGACAACTGAAGGATTCTGTACATATATTCAATGTAGAACCATGATAAAAAAATCTTACCCTTAATCGTGTAGTGGAGATCTCAGCTTTTAAAATGTCGGGATCATATTTAGTACTCGATGAAGACCCTGAGAATACTTTTGAAAGAGAAAAAAGAAAAAAGAATTGTTATTTACAAGTTGCATAACTAGTTAGCTTAGAATTTACCAAATAAAAACAAGATTTACATGCTTCTATGAATACTTTTATAATTTTACTGTCATTCATCAGATACCTAAATATAAAAAGTAATCTTCAAACCCCTACATTTTTTAAAAACTCAGGGAAGAGAAATGTCATAAAGACTCTGGTGCTTAATTTTCTTCTGGATTTTCTACATACTATGTCCTTAGAGGACCACGCTGCCGATGCAGTTTATCAGAGCTTTGCATTATCTGAGAACTTGTAATTTANGAGGACCACGCTGCCGATGCAGTTTATCAGAGCTTTGCATTATCTGAGAACTTGTAATTTAAGTAGAACTTCTGAGCCCATCATAGCTGCTTCTTTAAACAAAGCTAGCTCTAGATTACCAGTTTACGAGATTTGGGAAGGTAAATCAACTCAGGTGACCATAAGAAACTTCATTCTAGTTAATAGCTCCAGTTCCTCCCCACTAAAAATATTGTACAATAGTAGCAAAAAGGACCAAATCACTTGCCTTGTTCCGAAAAGGTAAAAATTAACTCATAAATGAACAAAAGGCTATCAGGCAGAGGGAGGAGCAGAAACAGAAGGTATACATAATTTGCAAATGGGAAGACTTTTATTTGGAAAAGAGTTGAGGGGTTTTACTGAGAAATCTGTGTTGTGCCCTCACCTCTCATGGTTTTGAGGGATTCTTCCTGCCCAGGAAGGAAAAGGACGCAAAATTAAACTTCATATAAATGCAAGTGGCCTTCCATTATCTACAATTCAATCTCCATTTCTAAAGTCTAAAGAGCCACACTGTATACTTACAGCTTGTGCGAGAACTTGACTTTTCCTTATAGGCATCATTTAATCGCACATATTCATCTAGGGCCAAAGCCAGCCTTTGTTCTTTCACATGGTACAGCTCCTTCTGTGTCCTGAGTGCATCCTGAGCCACTGAGAGATAGTCCTTGAGCATTTTCTCCTGTTCTCCCCTCCATTGTTTTCTTGGATCTTCTATCTGTGTGGTTTCTGAAAATATATTCAGGGTGTGTGTGTGTGGGGGGGGGGGGGTTGGAATTATGTTTTTTG